TTAACGTTGGTAGAAAAAAATAAAACTTCCAAACAAACTTATCCGTTTGACAATTTAACGTTATGTATAGTATACGTAACTGTCACATGGCCAAGAAAACAAGACAGATATAGAAATTGCCAAGAAAAGAAGACAGATATAGAAAATAAAGGTGGATGAGGGTTTTTTTTTTTCTGCTAAAGGAAAACAAACGACGTGGTTGAACCACTTTAAAACTGCCACGTGTAACGATAAACCTAGGTGTATGGCCAGAGAAGAACAGAAGTACCTCTTTCAAAATTGGGTCGTTGAAAGGTGAAAGTGAAATGGAAAATAAAAATGATTATTTTAAAAAAGAATTTTATTAATCTCCTTCCAGTTATCTTATGTGGTAGAGAGAAAATAGGTGGGTCCCACCATTACAAGAAAAAAGAAAAAGAAGAAAAAAGTGGGGTGCGAAAATCGAAGTGAGAGAAAATGAGATAAGTTACCTCGTGCAAAAGGAGAGTAATATTTCTCTTTAAAAAATATCTTAATTAAAAAACCTCAGTCTTCTCGTGAGTCAATTCTCCACATGTCGTAGTTATTGTATTTTTTTTAGGGTTATGTTTATCTCATTTTACATGAGATAAACATCTCTCCTACACACACAAAAAGGGTTGGGTCCCACCACTTTTTTTTTTCTCTCTCCTCTTACATGTGGGTCCCACTTATACTTTTATTTCTACAACATGAGGTAATTCTTTTCCTACAACATAAGAAAAATATATCTTTTTTTTATCCAATTCGATTGTCCGAATTATATTAGAGAATTTGGAGTGATTCATTTAATATTATTTTTCTCTATTTAGAAGATTTGAACTCGAGATCCCGGATAAGAGGAGCAAATTTTGATTACAACTATTAGGGATATTCACGTGTGAATTGGATCAATTTTGAAAGCAAAAATTATCCATTTAATCTTTTTGGTTTGATCATATAAATTATCCATTCGGTTTGTATATTTTTTCAAATCCGATCCGATCAAATTTTTTTCGGTTTAGATTGGATCAGTTTTTACTTTTTTTAAAATCCTAAAATTTATTTCATGATTATTGTGCAAATAACATCTTTTGTATATATTGACTTTGTAATTTTTTTTTAAATACAAAAGCATTAGTAAACTATAATATAATTTATTTATTTTTTAGCAATAAGATATGAAGCTCTATAAAGATAAAATTTTGTTGATGAGATGTGACTAGATTCTTGGGTTTAGTTGATGGTTTAATGGATCTTGGATTTAGAAATTTTTTAGGCTATAATTAGGGAAAAACCTAAGTAGGTAGAAGGAAATTAATATATTGGATCGGTTTTCATCAAACCATCCAAAAACTGATCCAATCCAATTAAAATTTGCGATTTTTTTTTCGGTTTTTGATTTTTCGATTTTTGATTTTTCAGTTCGATCACCGCAGTTTGAATCAGTTTGGATCAGTTAATGAACACCCATAATAATGTCATCAGTACATCTTAGGTATGTATAATTGAAAGTTAGAGGTATAATTCACTAATTCTGATAATGGTATAATAATTGAGATATGATACTATGTCTATCTCAATTAATTTTTCAAATTGATAGAAAAATAATAAATCTTTATTATATATATATATATATATATTATAATTTAAAATATTTATTTTTTATTTAATAATTATAGTTTTATACTTTTACAATACACTTTTTACTTTACAGTAATCAAATTGCCTCTTTTATTCATCTACTTGGAATTAATTTAACTCTTTTATTATACTACTACAAAATGAATATTTTTTATATGCCAGAGCCACCTATCTGTGTCTATCCGCAGCAGTAGACGGAGATTCCCTTGACGCCGTCACCTTGAACAGTTCCCTTTCATTGGTCTCGCAATTGATAACGATAACGATAACGAAAGGCGATTAGAAAGTAAGTAACAAGGACCTCTACGGTCAGCACTCTCCTCACCACACGTATAGTAAAGGATTTGAGTTTTGATCAGATTGCGTTGCATGCTTCCTTCCAATCTCTTTCATTGGTCCCCCACTCCTCGCTCCTGCCATGATGGAATAAATATTAGAGTGTCTTTGGTATTTCATAAATTTTTTGGTACAAGAGAATCACAATTACTAAAAATATATTAAAAATTGAGTTTATTACGAAAAAATGGTGTTTGGTTTGTTAATAGAAGTATTATATATCAAAAGAGAGAGAAACATTTTTGTATAGAAGAGAGAAATTTGACTGATATATAAATCTATTGAATCTTCCGTGCAACAGTAATATAAAAGATTTATTCGCGATGATGACTCCCCTCTAATTTAAACTACAAATAATGCATTCTAATTATATAAAGGGTTCGCTTTTTCTGTAGTTACTATAGATAAATTATCTGCAGTAAGGCAATAAGACGTCGTTTTGGAGCAGAAATTATGGTATTTTTGGAATTTTAATTTATTTCAGGGTTATAATAGTCTTTATATTTATAATTTTTTAAGATTCCAATATCAAAACGATGTCGTTTTGGAAATAAATGCAGATAACTTATCTGCATTAACTGCAGAAACATTTTTTCCTTATATAAATAGGATAACGATTAAGATTTTGAGCGTAAATTATACCGGTCTATATATAGATATAGAAAAGATTACTAATTTTTTAAACAAACACAGGTTGGAATTTATTAGAGAAATATGAATATAAAGCTTAAGTTATTCGTTAACATATTTTTTCAATGTTATTAAATACAGATCGATTATCGATTCCTTTGGAATATCAAATCAATAGATTACTGATTTAATTAATAAATCATTAATTAAACCTGTCGAATGAATCAAATAAATTAAATTGATATAAATATATGTAATAAATATATAAATAAAATTAAAATAATGATTAGCATTTCATTTTCATTCCTCATGTATTCTCTTGTTCAGATGATAGATGAAATCTTATATGCTATTGGATGAAATAATTTAAATGGTATTAATTTGTTAACGCATTTTATACTTTAAAATAAATTATTAAAAATATATATTACCTCTCCAGCTCATAATAATATATTTAATAAACTAATCTTTATATTTTATTAGAGAATTTTTAACAAACTCACTCTAAAATTAACAACTCAATAAAAAATTCCACAAAAAAAAAAATCAACTCAATAAAATTGAATTAATTTTTGTGTGTGAGGAAATTGAATTAATTAAAAGTAATGATGATTCTACATATATTTATTCAAATATTCTCTTTTCAGCAATTACATGACTTGGGTTTCACTTTTTTTCCATGTTGAATAGTTCACACGGAGTATGTGCGTAAATATTTTTTTTAGGAAATATTCACAAATTTTTAATTTTTTTTAAGAATTTGCTTGCGGACATCATTCTGAATTTTCTTACAAATAAACAGAAAAATCACTTTGATAAATCTGATTGTTCAAATACATAATTATAATTTGGATTTTTTCATATGAAAAAGTGGTTATATGATCATGTAATTTGATCACAATCACTTTTTTAAAAATCATATATTATTTTCTCTTTTATCTCATCATTAATGAGTGAAAATAAATTATTGTAATCAAATAACATTATCACTTTTCCACTTCACATTATTATCGTTATTATTTAGATGTTGTACAACAAGTTTGATATGATCAAGATTCACCTTTTATTATATATAAGAGAATGCTTGAAAATTCGCCCTCTTCAATTAATTTTTTACAGAAGTAGCAAACACACAAAATATTTTCTTTAAATTTAAACTAGTTAAATTTGGGAAAAATTATATTGATAAATTTTTTGTTTACAGACTCTTATAAATTAGATTATGTCTGACCGATCATACTTAGTGTAATTTGTAAAAAAAAAATTATAAATTAATTTTTCCGTTAAACTTATATGTCCACTTTGAATTGATAAATATTATTAATATAATACAAATATAATCTTTAACTCATAAAACATTGACACAATATATGCCTATGCTGCACCGATATCAATATAGGACACGAGATACGATACGACACGACACTCCGATAAGTTAATTCTAAAAAATGTTAAATTTTGATACGTTAGGACACGTTTTGATATTATATAATATTTTTAATTTATGTAGTGTATATTATATTTAGTGTTCAATAATTTAACAAAAAAAAAATCTAAACTTATAATACCCATTAGTTTTGCAAAGAAACATAAGATATCCCAAATGTTTATATTAAACTCAATAAAATCATAATTATAATATAACAAATCTAATGATTGAAACTCAAAATGTAACATAACATAATTTTTAAACTTTTTTTTGAGTCTTTACAATGAATATTGGAATGTCAAAATATCGGTAAGCATAAAAAAAAAATATCCAACATAAAACGTGAGAATTTTTGAAATATTTCATAAGTACATGTCTGAAAACCAAAGTATCACGCTTTCAACCACCCACCCTGTTATCCACTGAAAGGTTAGTCTACGGCATGTGTCCATGATGTGACAAAAATACCGCCATATTTACATATCATTATAGCAAGCAATTCAAATTCAAATGAATGAATGTCCTAATAAAGAAAATAAAATGAAAATAAATAAAAAGGTTTTATAAGAGTTATGTTGTAGGAAAATTGATTGTGTTATGTTATAGAGATTCATTTTGCATGCCAAAGTTTTTTTTTTTTGCTGCGGGCCCTACAAAATATTGTGTGTGTAGAAAATTTTTTGTGGTCATGTTAAGTAATAGATGATAAACCCATAAATAAAAAGTTGAATTTTATTGTTACCTAACGTTTTCTGCGATAGTGCGGGCAGCAAGCAACCGCAGGATCAAAAGTGAGTACACATGTCAGCATCAGATAGCGAGTAACCGACTTTTGGGCAGTTTTCTATCTATAACCTGCTATGTCCGGTGGACATGTGTACAATCACCGGAAGGTCCGGTGACTGTGGGTGTTGATCATATAAAGTGTTGGGGTTTAAGCAAAGGTTGGGTGGTTTTCAGAGGGTTTTGGTGATCCAAAGTAACGCAAAATTTTCTTTTTCTTTTCCCAACCGAAATACAAACCAAATTTTCGTGGAAAATGAGAGAAATTGTTTCTATGGTGGAAAGCTAGTGCTGTTTTTTTTTAATCACTTGGGATTCTCCGACAATTCGCCGATCTGACATTTGCCTGAATCGCCGGAATCTCGCTTTTTTCTGGTTAAATTTGTGATCTCTGAACGGCAACCTGCGGCAAGAGGTGTGTGAGCACGTTTTGTTTCACCAACGCATGCAAAGTTTGTTATCCTTGGGATTGCCTTTTTTTTTTTTCATGACAATTAATTTTTTGATTGCTACCGGACAAAAAAACTGGAGCCTGCTTCATATGATCTTGTTCCAACTTCAGAATTTTCGGTTCCCGACAAGGTTTTGGTCTGAGATTGTAAAATTGTCTGAGTGGTTCTGTTTTGTGTTCACTTAGTTTGGTTTTCATTTTTGCTTTGGGATTTGGATTTTGTCCATTGATTTGATGATCTCTGATTTCCGGGTAATTTTCTGGACCAGCACGTAGCTTAAGCTTTTGGTTATTTTCTGAGATCGATCTTCTTTCGTTATTTTAGATCCCTTATGTAATCTCCGTTGGATTTTGTTTACTTCTCTTCTCATGAACGTGTATGATATTTCGTTTAGTTTTGCTTCTTTCTTGTTTAGCTTTTACGAGCTTCATGGGGTTTGTTTTCGTAAATTCTATACGAGCTGTGTTGTTTTGTTATCTTCATCTGTTTTCGTTGTGTAATCCTCCGTGCTGTGCAATTGATTTTCCAGTTTGTTGGAGTGGTTATTAATACTTAATTTTTTCAATCGCCTCTATCATCAAGGTTCCTGGATCCGGTGGAAGTCACTCGTTGGTTTCCTCTGAATTTGAGGTTTAATCATACGCTCGGAGTTTTTATTTTTTATTTGCGCTCGATCCATCTATCTTGGCATGGTTCCTGAGATATGGTCTTGCAGAAGAGATTAGAGTACGGATTTAATGGCTATCAAACACCAGCCACACCCCGAGCTACCCGATCAGCTAGGGTAAATATGTTCTGCTTCTCATCTGGGGCTGGTTACTACTATTTATTTACTTAGAGATTTTAAGAATATAATCCATATAATTATTTTTTAAAAATGTTTCTTAGAGGAGGGCTAAATTTCAAAGAAGAGTGGAAGACAATCGAATGTGTGCATTTGACTTATTGGCCACCATAGCTGGTAATTTATTACAAGAGAAAGGGAATCCAACCATCTCTTGTGATCCATCTTCAGAAAAGGATCAGCTTGGATTTGGTAAAGAGTGCCAAGATGCAAATAAACCATTAAAAGCTGAGCTTTCTGATGAAGGAAGTTGTGCCAAGAAATGTTTCTCTCATCCTTCTTCACAAACAAAAAATCAAAATTGTTGCTTGAAAGAATCCCCACTTTTTGAAATTGATGGCAATTCAGGCATTGCTTCTATAGTATCAAGTTCAAGTTGCTCAGAGAGGTTAGCTGCAGAGGAATTGGTGGATAGCAAAAGTCATAAGGAAATGGAAAATGTCACTACTAAAGTTGAATTAGATTCTTCTGGTTATTCACAGGATAGTCATTTAAAGTTACATGGTGATACCAGTAACATAAAGGATGAACTGCATAAGTTTGAGAAGGTGCCAGTTGGAAATGGGACTGAGATGTTCAGTTTTGAGGATCCGTTGGATGAAAAGCCTCCTGCATTGATCAGTTTAGGTGGCACTGCCAAGTTGTTTGATGACAGGATTCTCTGTAGCTCATTGTCCAAAGGTTGTGACAATGCACCAGTAGTTAGTAGAGATAATGACGAAAACTCTTATGGGTGTACTCACCCTAGTTCAAAAACCAAGTCCTTTAGGCCAAAGACTTGTATAGATGCTGGAAGAATAAGGAAAATATTGGCTTCTAAATTTCAGAAAGTTGCTCAAAAATCAAAGGTTGATACACTTTCAAACAGGGGTGAGTCCATGCTTATGGTATGAAATTACTGGCTCTTTTTTTTTTTTACACCCCTCATGCTTTTGTTGCTTGTTTACTGATTGTTTTTTCAACTGGAAACATGTTAATTTTAGATGGATCTTGGAAACAATCTTACCAAAGTAAGAACTGCTCTAAACGACATAGTTCTCAGATGAATATTCCTTTCAAAAAGAGGAAGCTTTTTAATTATAGCTCTGTTTCAAAGTCCAATGGATTTATCAGAAGTGGTGGCATGTATTATTCACCTGAGAATGGTAAGAATCGAGATGCTTCTGATTCATCTCCCGGGATGTGCAAAGGTTTTACACTTTTACTCTAAATGGCTTCCTCCTATTTAAATTGATTTTTGTTTCGCCTCTGGATTTAAGGTTATATGGAAACTTTTGTTTAATAAATTTTAAATCTTTGATGCAGACCCAGGACTATCATCCTTGGAAGCATGTCAACACTCTGCATTAAGATGTAGAGGTTCTCATGGTATGAGAAGATTGAGGAAGTGATTCTTTATGTATTCTTTGACTTTACTGATATCTTCAAAGGGATTCTTACATGTAGATATCTTTCTTTTAACCAGTGAAGCTTAGGATCAAGTCATTTAGGGTGCCGGAGCTTTTTATTGAGATTCCAGAAACTGCAACCATTGGTTCCTTGAAGGTGTGTAGTAATCTTATATTTTGCCATGTAATTTATCATCTTCCCCTGTATTTAGATGTTCATGAGGGATGGCATCTGTGTATTTTATAAGTTGGATTTACATGTTACTAATTCATTACATACACGTTTCTTCTATCATAAGTTGGGTTCGGCTGCATTTTTTTACAACATTTTGGTCTGCAGAGGACAGTAATGGATGCAGTGACTGCTGTACTTGGAGGTGGATTACACATTGGTGTCGTTCTCCAGGGAAAGAAAGTTGGAGATGACAATAAAACTCTACTTCAAACTGGAATTTCTCATGATAACCAGCTGGATGCTTTGGGTTTCACCCTTGAGCCTAATTCTTCACAAAGTGTACTGCCTGAATTAGCTGCACATTCTCCCCATGTTCCTAGTGCAGACATACCTCAGGCTCTAATAAGGTAATGCATAACTTCTCAATGAAGCTACGGGTGTCATAAAAAACATGATGGCTGGAAGTGTGGCTGTCTGTTAGTGTTCCTGATTATTTGAACTCAAATACACTGCCTTATTTCCGTTGACATTGTATTATTCCTGGGAAATGAGGTATTTATATACTTCATAAATGTTTGTTATAGTGTCATCAGCATATTTCTCTATAAATTATTATTCAGATTTTTATCTTAAGAATATTATTATTTAGTTTATGTCAAAATTATAATTCAGGTATCCTTCGAGTCCGGCTGCAATTCATCAGAGGATACAAGGCAATTCTGACATGTTACCTGAGCATCAACTAACTAGTTTAGGTAACATTGTTGAAAGTGACCATGATTCAGTACCTTCTCCTATCAAGGCATCTGTTGACAAAGGGATGACAGATTCCAAAGAACTGGTAACTGTTCTTGAAATGGGTAAGGAGAAGCTACCTGTGGTACCTGTGCTCCAGAAGTCAAAGCAATCCGAGATTGTTCAGCGCCGAATTCGCAGGCCCTTTTCTGTAGATGAAGTGGAAGCACTGGTTCAAGCAGTTGAGAAACTGGGAACTGGAAGGTAAGATTTACATTTGGCTCTGTTTGATCTGACCAACAGTAATATTTAGCGGGTTGTGTCCCTACTCTATGTCTTCGCCAGTTTGTGGATGTAGAGAATTGTTTGTTTTTTGTCTTTTCAATTACTAGATGCTGCACTTTAGTATTGGTAGAGATTTCCTCTGACAATCCCTTTATATTGTGTTTTTATTTCATTAAAAAATACAATCAGGTGGCGTGATGTTAAACTTTGTGCTTTTGATAATGCAAAGCATCGGACATATGTGGATTTGAAGGTAAAAACGTTTGTGACCCTAGTGCAAAGCAATTGCGGTATTTTGTGAATTCTATTGATCTTAAAAAAAGAAGAAGAAGAAGATCATTTTATTGCCTAAATGAATTGTTAAAGTTGGCTGTCACACTTCTGGTCAATGGGTAGCATGTTTTCTTCTTCATCTCTCAACTTTTTTTTATCAAGGCAAGTAGGTAATTGAATCCTAGGTAGGCTGTCAGTATTTATCGCTTGATTAGTAATCTCTCTTGCCTTGTGCTTAAAGGACTCTCTAAATATATAACCAGATATGACTTGCGCTGTGCATTTCCTTTGCCTGGTGCTTTTTCTAGTTATCATGACTTGTCTTTTACAAAAATAGAATTTAATCCCATTCAGGTTTTGGTCCCTATTATAGTTTTTTGTATTGGTCCCTACCGAAAAGGTTTTCCACCCATTTGGGTTTTAGTCCTATAATTTATTTTTATAAGGGTATTGATCTTTACTTTCCATAAAGGATTGGTACAATAGTTTCCATTTATTAAGATATTGGTTCTTGAGGGAGCAAAACCCAAATGAGTGAAAACATGGCGATTAATACCAAAAAAATAAATAAATCATAGAGACCTAAACCTAATTGAGTATAAATTATAGGAACAAAATCTCATTTAGACAAAAACATATTTATTCTGCTGTTTCTCCTTTAATGTAAAATTTGCTGTAAGATAGATAGTGATGGGGTCTGAAAGAAAAGAGCAAGAGCACTTTGATTAGCATAATTTTGGTTTCCCTATCTTGCACGCATAGCAGAGAAAGTGTCTCTCATGTGATTTGGGTTTTGGGATGGTGCAGGATAAATGGAAAACACTGGTGCACACGGCAAGAATATCCTCTCTACAAAGGAGGGGAGAGCCTGTTCCCCAAGAACTTCTGGATAGGGTCTTAACTGCCCACTCATACTGGTCCCAGCAGCAGTCTAAACAGCACCCAGAAACAACCTTATCCTTTAATAAGGGGTTGTCAGCAGCACGTGGCTTTGTAGATGGTGTGGGTGTTTTGGTTTCTGACTTTTATTAAATTAGACTGTCTTTTTAAAGATTTATATATTTATATTTATGAAATCTCTGTTTATAAATTGTAAATGATTGATGCAGTAAAGAGCTTGCTAACACAATTCTTTTGATGCCAATTTGATTGTAAATAATTTGATTGCTGTGTGTAAAAGTATTACTGCTTGGTAATTGAAACCTGCGTTTGCCTAACTGTCTTCTAAAGACACTTAGGTCATATGGAAGAAGATGAAGATGAAGATGAAGATGTCTACAACCAATGTTTAGTGTGCAAAAATAACTAGGAGCACTTTGACACATGTTGACGTGTGTTAGGAGATAGGACAATAAGTGGTGGCTAATGGCTAATGGCTTTCTACATATTCGAATCCTTTCAAGAATGGAATCTTAGTAGCCTGATCCAAAACAATCATTACTGTCGGCTTTCTTATTTAAAAGTTTCTTTATTACAATTTAGAATTGTTTCTATCCTTCGACACTTGCAGAGAGCAAAATTGAAGAATCGAAACTTTTGTAGGCTTTATTTAAATATTTTGTTTTAAGTCGAATGGAACGGATCATGATGAATGAAATATAATGATAGAGTAAACACTTTTAACTATTATATAGATATTTAAAATGAAATGAAGAGAGATTTTTATTTTATTATTGAAAATTTTGATGGAAGTGAATGAAATCTTAAGAATTATATCTTTATATAAGGGATTAATGTTTCTCATTATGTACTTATGTAGGAGATAAATTTATCTTCTATATATACATAAAAGTGTGTGAGGTTTACATAAAAAAAGTGAGAAAAAAATATTGGTCACAAACATTTTTATGTGTGTAGGAAATAAAATTTATCTCTTACAATACATTACTCGCTTAATATAATCATTAATAAGAGATATGAATTTTTTTAATCTTTTTATAAAAATTCTCTACCATAGAGTGATGTCTTACAATACATTACTCGCTTAATATAATCATTAATAAGAGATATGAATTTTTTTAATCTTTTTATAAAAATTCTCTACCATAGAGTGATGTCTTTATAAAAATTTTAAATGAATAAAAGAGCAATAACGATTCAAAATATGAATAAAAAAAGAAAAATTACTTAGATAAGACTAGAAACCTTACAATTCTGCTTAGATGTATAAATTTGATAGAATATGATGATTTATTAAAGGGATTTATAACAATAATGTTACAGAAAAATAGTTGTATCATATCATAGAAACAAAAAACATCGGGACCCACATAATTTTTAAAAAAAAAAGTACAACACGTAAATTGATAGCCCAGTGGGAAAGTTTTTCCATGTCCTATTGCAGGACACATCACACATATATCTCCCTTTATTAAATATTAAAAAATAAAAATAAAATCATATGTGTGAATTACAAGTGTGCATGGGATTTTATCTTTTTATAAGAATGATACTGGGATTTTATCTTTTTATAAGAATGATACCGCTTTACCACTGCTAATAACAGTTCTTATTATAAATCTAGGCATAATATATCTAAGGGCATTATGGGTGTCTTAGTGGTCAGCAGCCATATAGAGAAACTTAATAATAATAAGGATCGTTTAGGTCCTTTCTTGTTTATTTGAATAGTCAGTAGCAGTCGTGTTAATCAATGAAAAAGCCAGTGGCAGAAGGAAAGATCAGGCAAGTTAGATGTCTTGAAGATGATAGCAATTCTATGTACTCACAGTTGAAGGATTGAAATTAAAACCATAGTTTATCGTAGTTGGGAAGAGTATAATTTAGTAATTATTTAAAAAAAATAAAATTAATCCTATCACAAACCTACCAAATTTAAGGGGGAAGAAAAAGGGATATGGGAATGAATAGATTTCAACCATTTTTATTTTATTGCTGCTATGGTTATTGATTGGGTGTGTGGGAGATTTCCGATATGCTAATATTGCATCCGAGATGTCTATTTGTGGGCCAATGATCGTAGATTGTGTGGGAATCAGATTTATGTCTTCTTGTTAGGGAATTGGGCCTTTGCATTGGGCCTCTTAGGAACGATCCAAACATATACAAGAAGAAACAAAAAATGAAAGGAGATACTAAATGACGATAGTTCAGTTGCATCAGCGAACTCAGTATGTAAGAATGAGAGCATATGGATCCCTTTTCTAATACTATTTTTGGGAGGGATTTAAAGTTTTAATTCTAAACCTGTCCCGAATCAGACTAATCACGAAGTGATGAACCGATTAAAACACCTAAAAAAAATTGAAAGGAGAAGTGAAGAAATTATCACTTCTCTTGTTTGGTATCATCCAATAAAAAGTAAATGTGATTCTTCTTATATACATGGAGAATAGCTTCTCCTATTACAAGAAAAAGTCTGTTCATTTCCAAAAAAAAAAAAGAAAGAAAAAGTCTGTTCTCCTTTCAAGTGAAATCGAAAATTGTAACACCTTTATTTTATTTTTTTTAAAAAAACGTGGTGGGTCCTACGGATAGCTCTCTTTGTAGAAATGAGATCGATTCTCCAAATATTCGAGATATATATATATATATATATATATATATATATATATATATATATATATATATATATATGAATTTTATAAGAGTTACGTGGTAGGAAAAATGATTGTGTAATGTTATAGAGATTCGTTTTGCGTGCTATAATTTCTTTTTTTTCTTTTTTCTTCAAAAATTGTGGGACCCACAAAATATTGTGTGTGTAGAAAAATTTATTGTGTCATATTAAATGACAAATGCAAATCCCTATATATATATATATATTACAAACTTACAACTCTGCCCTTCCATCCTCAGGAGAAAAAGATAGTGGGAAAATAATCGTACCTACAAAAAATTTATCCAATGGAAATCATTTTCTTTCATTACTAATTTGCAATCAAACAAGAGATATTCTTCAATTCCTATCTTTTCGTCTTCATTCCATTCATTTTCAGTTAAGTTAATAAATCCCCCTCAATTGATACATTTAGTTTTTTTTTATATATACAATGGTGAGAATTAAACACATAATCTAATACAAATTATCCAAATCCCTCACCACTAGACCAATCTTTGTAACTTTACATTTGGTTTTCTTTAACATAATATTTTATCTTGTTTACTAATTATTATTCAAGTGATGTGCTGCTATCTTAGTCAGATTATCATTAGCTAATTGAAAAAAAAAATCGAACTTTAATGAAAAGGGAAGGGGGACCAGTAAGAGAGAATGGGAAAAAGGGGAGGGGGACCGTTTTTATAGTGGTGGGGATCACTAAAAATGCTGAACGACCCAGCTGTTTTATTTTAGTTGTGACATGTGTCACATATGCGTTACATGGCGCTACGGAGGCCACATAAGATGATATCCTTCCCTGCGACTTCGACCAGGTATCACACCAAGTTGTCTAGTGTTTTAGGCCGCATGGCAGGCTGGTATAGAATTTGTCTGCCATGTAATCTCACTGCACTGTGCAGAGGCTTATATGACATGAACTTGTTGACACGTGTGCGCACCTAACTTGTTTAGTGTTATAGCAAGATAGGTGATGTAACATTTTGGAGGAAAAAAAAATTCAGTCCATAGCATTTGGATAATTTTTCATGAATAATATGGTATTTTGGTAGTTGTCCCTAAATGTTTGGAACGACTGAGGATAAAGATTGTGGCTGAGTTGATGGCTCAAAAAACAAAAAAAGCCCCCAAAAAATTAATATCCAATAGTTCAGTTACAAAATTTCAGACATATTATTTCGAATCGATCCTAATTCCTACCGGGCTTACTCTGTTGGTTCATACAATTACATCGAACTTTAATTAAAAGTTAAATAGGGATTGGGATTCCTCGGGGTCATGGGCCCTCTCTGAACCCAAAACGAAAAAGTGGGGTCTTCTTTGAATTATGGGCTTTTAGATTACTTGGCACTGTTCATCCCCTTCTTTGAGCTTTACCTCTTCGTAATCTTTAGATCTGAGCGATCTAACTCAAATTCTACAAGGCCAAGAACCCATTACGATAAAATAAAATATATCTTCTCTTTTCTTTTTCATTTTTTAACCATAAACCTCACAATAATGGATTTAAAAACTGTAATATTTAACTCAAATGACTCAAATGTTCATGCGCAACTGAATCAAATATTTAATCTTTACAAATCAGCAAAACATTTAAAAACTTTAACGAAGAAGGAGTTTCACTTTTTAAATTAACAACTCAAATAAGAAATTTATCAACATATAAATAAATATAAAGGACAAATCGTCCACAAGACTTTTTGATCAACATCAATATCAAGGACACTTTTACTCCAAACTAGTTGAGATCAGTGACAAATGAATCCAAATAAAAAATACTAAAAGATTAAGAAAAAAAGATAAAAATAAAATTTAAAATATGAAAAAAAATTTTATCATTTTAAATGACATAATTTTGTGTCAGTTTTTAATGAAATCACATTGTTTTGGTGTGTTTTATTTTTTTTTTTATAAAATTAGGAAGAAAAAGAAAGTGGAGGATAAAGAATATAAAAACACATCAAAACGACGTAGTTTCATTAAAAATGACATAACTTTGTGTTATTTAAAATAATAAACATTTTTTCCAATATATATATATATATATATATATATATATATATATATATATATATATATATATATATATAACATTATCCATTAAAAATAGCAATAAGAAATAAAATAAAATAAAGATACATAAGACTTATAAGAGGGAAAAAAGAATAAAAAAATAAAATAAAGAAAAATAGAATACATAAATAAATAAATAAAAGAAGAAAGATTGAGTGGAAAAAAAAAATTAAAAAAAGGAAAAAAAAAAAGGGAGGTAAAGAAAGAATGAGATAAAGGGAAAATGGATTAAAATGGGACTATCTAGAATATAGGAAGAAAAACAGGTCTAATCCTCCACAATGTTAATAACTTTCCTTCAATTTCGTCCTAAGACACACTGTCTGTCAATCTATATATCATTTTATTAAGTCTTGCTTTACTATTATCTCTCAAGTAAGTTTCAATGTACCTCTTCCTCTCTGTGTCAAGCTCTTGTTAACAAACTATTGTTATCTAGGGGTCTTCTAATTACATGCCTAAAGTTCTAAACCACCTCAATCTATGTTCTATCATCTTTTTAACCAGATGTAACACTCTTATCTTTTTTCGAATATCTTCATTTTTTTATCTCATCCTT